TTTTTTTGTAGAAGTCTGCTCTTACTTTCCTCCTTTGCATGAATTCCAGGGATAGAACTCAGGTCATTAGACTTGTAAAGCAATCATTTTTACCCACCCAGCCATTTCACCAGCCTGGCCCTCTTCATTTGTTTTCAGTGATTTCATGTGAAAAAGATCTAAGATAAATTTGCTATATTTTCCACTGTGGTAATTTGTAACTGACAAAAATGAAATATATATGTACATTTTAAATATATCAATTTTCTTTATGATTTTTAGTCATTTTATCGAGTGATGATGATGACGATGACATGACTAACAGAAGAGAGAGGATATCTCCTCAACCTGCAGACTCAGCATGTTCATCCCCAGCACCATCCACTGGAAAAGTAGAAGCTGCACTAAATGCAAACACCTTCAGAACAGATAATGAACTAAGAAGCAATCTAGCCGAATCAGAGTTAAATACAGTTACCTTGCCAAGAAAAGCAAGAATGAAGGACCAGGTACCTTTCCATTTGGTGACTTAGAGATTAAGGTTTTTCCTTTGGGATAGAATCTCTTTTTTTTACAAGGCAGTGTGCCAGTGACAGCAGAGGATAACTTACTCATTATTTCACATTAAATATTACTTGGAAGATTAATTAAATATTACTTTGGAAGAGCAATAACTATGTATAAAAATAAATTACAATTATACTAAAGGCTTAAGTGTAAAATTTCAACAAGAAAAAAGCCAGTATCAGTCTTATAACAAAATGTTAATATAGGTCCCTTATTCAAGATGACCAGAAATGTTTGGATTTCAGGTGTTTTTTGAAATATTTACATACACATAATTAGATACTTGGAGATGGGACCCAAGGCTAAAAAGGAAATTTGTTTTGCATATACATTATACAGATAGCATCAAGGAAGTTTTGCACATTTTTAGTGCACTTGTGTTTTCACTGCATAGCATCACTTGATTCAGGGTTCAGAGAAGGTTAGTATTCAGAAAGGGCAGGGTTTGTAGGATTTCAACTTCAGATTAGGGATGCTCAACATACACACTCATGAGGAACTGTTTTATAAAATCTAGAAGGCTAAAAGTTATTTTAACTTTAGCGTATGTCAGTATAATATTTTTTATCATTTTATATTTGCTATATAAAACTTTTAAAACATTCAAATGGAAAAAGATGAAGTGATATAAATAAAAAGGTTCAGAGAAATATTTATAATACAGATGATATACAATAATGAAATAGACTACTTTTAAAAGGGAGGAAATAGAACCAATGAGACGGCTCAACAGGTAAAGGCTCTTGATGCCAAGCCTGACAGTCTGAGTCTGATCCCTGGGACCCATGTGGTGGAAGGAGAGGACCAACTCCTGCAGGTTATCCTTTGACCTCTGCATGCATATTATAGTAAATGTCCCTTCCTCTGAATAAATACAAAATGCAAAAATAGGTTAGGGGCTGGCAAGATGGCTCAGCAGTTAAGAGCACTGACTGCTTTTGCAGAGGACTCAGGTTCAATTCCCAGCACCCACATGGCAGCTAACAACTGTCCTAACTCCAGTTCCAGAGGAATCCAGTACCCTCTCCTGACTTCCACGGGCATTGCATCACAAGGGGTGCACTTATATACATGTAGACAAAACACTCGTAAAGATAAAAAGTAAAAATAATAAATAAATGCAAAAATAATAATAATAACAACAAAGGATAGTGTTAGATGATGTCCCTTACAGCGTTTAGGACCTGTACAATGAGTTACCAAAAAAAGACAACAACTCATAATGTCTTTTGTTTTGTTTGTGTTTGGATACAGGGTCTGCCTCTGCCTCCAGAGTGCTTTAAAGGCATATGCCACCACATCCTGTCCTCTTATAATGTTTTTTTTTTTTTTTTTTTTTTTGAGGTAGGGTTTCCTTGTAACCCCAGCTGACCTGGAACTTACTATGTAGACCAGACTGGCCTAGGTCTCTGTGAGATTTTCCTGCTTCTGCCTCTGCCTTGGAATGCTGGGATTAAAGTTGTGCACCACCATGCCCAGTACCTCAATAAAGTTTTAAGTAAGTTTGCAATTGTATTTATAGCTATCCTTGCTACATGAAGCCAGCAGAGCATGGATTAGACATGCCATCAAATGTAAGCCACCACATGAAAAGTATAAATTAGGAAATACAGATTAAAGAAAATGAAGTATAACTGTAAACTAAATCCTAAATCGACTTACAAAATGAATACAAGACAGTATGTGGTCCTGGGACCAATCCAAGGGGAAAAGTACTTTCCTAATTTGGCTGTAGAAGCCAGGTGTGATGGCGCATTTCTTTAATCCTAGCACTCCTGAGGCAGTGGCAGGTGGATCTCTGTGAGATCAAGGCCAGCCTGGTTTATATGGTGAGTTCCAGGACAGCCAAGGCTATGGTAAGAACCCATCTCAACAAAACCAAAAAAGAAGAAGAAGGTGGAAAAAAACTAATTTAGCAGTAGGAAGAAAAGCTATAGCATTAGGGAAAACAATGTAAAAAGTACCATGAAGTTGTCAAAAAAAAGTGATTGGGGAGATATGGAAGATATTGGAGAGGAGGGAGTGGGCATGGATTTGATGAAAACACCTTAAATGCATGTATGAAATTCTCCGTAGTTTTTTTTTTTTTTTTAGTTTTTAAAAAAGAAATACACAAAAATACAATTAAAAAGTTATTTTTAAAAGTTAAAAGATATTTTGAAATTTTAAATATGCCCTGCTAGAGTCCATAGAAACCCTCTCCAAAAAGTCCCCTATTTCCCCAAGATATAAGGATATTATAAACATGATTGTTAGTCAGGCACTGTGCTTCATGCCTCCAGTCCCAGCATTTGGGAGGCTGAGGCAGGAGGATTAATTCAAGTTTGAGGATGCTCTGGAATACAGAAAGAATTCCAGGGCAGGCTGGGCTACCTTCTCTCTAAAACCAAAACAAAAGCCAAACAATAAAAGATTGATTATTAGTAAACATCTACAATAAATAAAAATAATTGTCCTGTAATATAGATATGGCTCAAGAATCATGGTACAAGCTGTACCCTGAACCAAATAAAATCAGAGGTTGGCAGATGGTTCAGCAGTTAAGAGCACATCCTCCTCTTCCAGAGGACCCACTTCCCACCAATTATGTTGTGCAGCTCATAACTACCTGTAACTCCAGCTCCTATGGGATCTGATGACTGACTTTTGCAGGCACCTGCACTCATGTACATACCCACACATTTACACATAGTTAAAAAAAAAATGAGAACTAGAGAGATGGCTCAGCAGTTGAGAGCACTGACTGCTCTTGCAGAGAACCCAGGTTCAATTCCCAGCACCCACATGGTGGCTACGAACCGTCCTTAACTCCAGTTTCAGGGGAATCTGAAGCCCCCTGCTGATGTCTGCGGCACTGCACAACATGGGTGCACTTACATTCATGCAGGCAGTGTACTCGTACACATAAAATAAAAATAATAAAATATTTTTTTTTATTATTTAAAAAAATGAGAACTAACTAATGTTCTGGATTACTGCATAATACTCGAGCATAGATAGCATGACAGGAATCTATTTGTTTGAGCTGAGCAGGTGTACATTTTCTTAAGAAAAAAGGAGAAAAAGATCTGGAGAGATGGCTTAGTGTTTGAAGAGCACTGGCTGCTTTTGCAGAGGATCCAGGCTCAGTTCCCAGCACCCATATGACCGCTAACAACCATTCATAACTCCAGTTCTAGGGCATCTGACACCCTCTTCTAGCCTGTCTGGACATTGCACAGCACAGGTGCACTTACATGCACATACTCGTACATGTAAACAATAAAAAGTTTAAGAGCGAGAAGAACTCCTGGAATTGGGAGAGGCTCCAAGGGAAGAACACCAAAATAAATATATTAAAAAGTAAATATATGCATATTTATGTCAGGTCCTGAGGAATAACCATAAAATTTTGGGCACATAATACTTGGTTGTTAAAATGAAAACCTTAAGAAATGAAAAACAAAATATTAATACTTGTATATAGTCTTAGAGAATGCCATTGCAAGCATGATGACACAAGCAAACATGTAATGGAGAGGTGAGTACGTTTGACGAAATGAGAATTACAGAGCAGTGTAGGGACTACCACAGGCTAATACCAGGGTTAATAGCAGTGTTTAGAAGTAGTGTCCTCTATGGCAGTTGATTTTTTTATATATTTTTAATGTCTTAAAATCATTGGGACTGGGCCATGGTTTGGTCATTGAAGTACCTGCACACTGCCTGGGGACCCTAGCCTAGCATGGATTGTAATCCCAGCAAAAGGGACATGTACATAAGTACGTCTCTAGGCACTCATTGGCTGACCAACCTTAGTCAGTAGGCCCAGGTTCCAGTGACAGATCCTGTCTGAAAAAAACAACAAACCCAGCTCCTAGGGAACAGCCAAGGGTGACCTCTGGCCTCCACATGTGCACATATGTACACACAACAGAAGACAGAGTCAGACCAATGAAAAATTATTAAAGGTAATGAATAATGTTCAAGAAAGGTAGCTACTCAATTAGCAAATACGAAATGAAAATGCCTTTAACTGTCCAGACTGCCAAATGTTTTTAAACTGTGATGATGTTTCTTCTTGGTTGGTATTAGGGGCGGTGGCATGTTGAGGTCATAAATTGGTTTAATACTGCTGGAGGACAATTTAGCAGTAATTCTTAATAGGAGCTAGAATTTCACTGCAGAAATGCCGTTTGGAGATAGTTTATCATGGGAGCAGATTGGAAAGCTGCACAGTATAGAAGAGTTCAGTTATTCAGGTTTTTAGATGGTATGCTCACTGGCATAGCTCTCATTTCAGTGACACTGGCAGGATGCAGATCTTTCAGGTTCTAGACTCCATCTTTCTACTGTGATTCAGCTAGAACAGATCTTAAATTATCCCATTAGTGAACTAATAGCTCTCATTTGAAGAATGACTATAAAGCTTAAAAACCAAACAAAGCCAAAAGGCCATGCCCAAAATTTTAAAATCTCTTTAATAGGTTCCTATTAATAATTTAGGAAAGTGATCATAATAAACAGTTTCTTACCCTGAAAAAGCAGTTTATAAAACCATAGACATATGTAAGAATTACATGCATTTTACTTTTTTCCCTGACTGACCTGGTGCTTGCTGTATGGACTAGGCTGGTCTGGAACTCGTAGATTTCCTCTTGCCTCTGCCTCCCAAGTTCTGGGATTAAAGACTTCTACCACCATGCCCAGCCTTTTGAATTTATTTAAACTGATACATAAAACATAAAAATTGTATATAATGTGATATCATGATATTTTGATATACTTACACATGTATAATATTTAAGTCGAATTTAAATACTGAGATATTTACCACATTAATATAGCAAAAACTTTCCAGCTCTGGCTTATTTTGGTTATTGTAATTATCTTTGTTTCCATTTGTGTGCCTGAGTAGTATTTTAGTGTGTTTACCATATTTTTGTTTCATTTATCAGTTGGTATACACTTAAGTTGTTTCCCTTTCTTAAAATTTTTATTGATTGATTTTTTTTTTTTTTTTTTTTTTTTTTTTTACTGTTATATTTTTTTCTCTTCTTTTAAAATTTTATTTTTTTTGTTTTTTTTTTTTTTTTTTTTTTTTTTTTTTGGTTGAGACAGCGTCTCCCTGTAGCCCCAGCTGCCCTGGAACTCACTATGTAGACCAGGCTGACCTTGAACTCACAGAGATCCGATTGATTGATTTTTATGTTGTATGTTGAATGTTTTACCTGCATGTAAATAAGCACACCCATGTTGTGCAGTGCCTGTGGAGGCCAGAAGAGTGCATTGGATCCCCTGGAACTGGAGTTAACAGAAAAGGTGGTTAGCCACCATGTGGGTGTTGGGAACCAAACCCAGGTCCTCTGCAAGAGCAGTCAGTGCTCTTAACTATTGAGCCATTTCTCCAGCTCCTGTTTCTTTTTCTTGCCTACTGTAGTTAGTATTATCGTAAATGTGGAGTGCAGATGTCCCTTTAGCAGACTGGCTTCATGTCATTTAGATAGAGGCATTAGTGGATCTTAGTTCTGATTTAATATTTGAGGACTCTGCATTCTGTTTCTTGAATGAATGTAGTAACTGACATTCTTGAAACAGTATAGCAGTATAACCTTTTCTCTACACCCTTGCCATCATTTGTTATCTTTTAAGTCTTTGTGATACTGTTCTCAGTGAGGTGACACTTGACTGTGGTTTGATTAGCATTCCCTGGTGATTAGTGATACTGACCATTTTTTCCTATACATGTTAATAATTTGTACATTGCCTTTGCTAAATGCCTATTTAAATCTGTTGCCCTATTTTTATTTGTTTCATTTGTTTGAGAGAGGGTCTCATTTAGCCCATGTTGTCCTTGAACTCGCCCTGTAGCTGAGGATGACTTTAAACACCTGCTCTTCCTGCCTCTACCTCTCAAGTGTGGAATCATAACATAAGCCACAGGGTCTGGCTTGCCTGCCTGATTTTTAATTAGCTTATTAATATTTTTTCCACTATTGAGTCCATTATATACTCTGGATAGTCTCCCTTTTCAGGTATATAGTTTGCAGCTTTTTTTCTTACGTTCTGTAGGGCTTCCTTCTCATTTTGCTTACATAGTGCAGAAGCCTTTTAGTTTTATATAGCTTTTTATTTCTTATGTTCTCAGTGTCTTATGTGAAAAGTCCATGTCCATTCCATCATTTGGAAATATCTCTTCTGCATTTCTTTCTACTTGTTTCATAGTTTTTAGATTGTATATCAGGTTTTTAATCCATTTAGAGTTTATTTTTATATATGGTCAGAAATAGGAGTTTATTTTTAATGTGCATGTTGATTATCCAGTTTTTCCCGCACCATCTATTAAAAAAATTGGTGCTTCCTCCAGTACATTTTCTTAGCATTTCTGTCAAAAATATGTTACCTGTAGCAGGGTATGGTGGTGAGCACCTGTAATCCTAGCATTTGGATGGCTGAGGCGTCTTGAGCATGAGACCATCACAGAGACCAGCACAGATGACATAGAGATCCAGTCTCAAAAATCCAAACAGGGACTGGAGACATAGCTCTGCTGTTAAACACCAAGGCTCACTCTTCTAAAGGACAAGAATTCGGTTCCCAACATCCACATTGTTAGACTCTCTCTGGCTTCCCTTTTCTTTCTTCTAATGACACACACACACTCATCAATAGAAATAGAAATAAACAAAGCAAAATTGGTTTCCTGTAAAAGCATGGGCTTTGATTCTGTTCCACTGGTCTATGTTCCATTGGCTAGCCTATGTGTCTATGTTTTAATACCATGCTGTTTTGATTATGATAACTTTATAGTATATTTTGAAGTCAAATGACAGCTTTGTTGTAGCTATTCAAGGATTTTCTCTTTTCCATTCTTTTCTTTCTAGTCCTTTTTTTTCTTTTGTGGTTCTATAAAAAGTTTAAGATACTTCCTAGTTCTCCAGAAAGTAGTGTTGGTACTTGGATAGAGATTGTACTGAATCTGTAGAACTCTTTGGTTATTATGGATATTTTGACAATATTGATTCTTCAGATCCATGCACACAATATTCCTTCCATTTGTTCATATGTTCTCTTCATTTCTTCAATATTACATTTTTGTTGTAAATGATTCACTTCTTTGCTTAAATTTATTCCTAGGTATTTTATTTTTGTTTTGTTGCTACTATAAGTAGTATGTTTTTTCTTGATCTCTTTTTCAAGTCTGAAGTGCTCCAAAGAGAAAAACTTTTTTAGGACTAACATGATGTCCAGGAAGTTTTAGCTTTTGATTTTTGGATTAGGGATGCTCAGTCCATAAAATATATGCCAATATTCCAAACTCTGAAACGTTTTTCATATCAAATATTTTAGATAAGGTGTACTCAACTTGCATAAATATAGTTAACTTTTCATTGAGATTAAAGCTATGTAAAATATGTGATAGATTTGAACTTGTGAGTATGAAATAATTCAGGTAGATCTAGTAATTTCTTTATTTTTTTATATTCTATTTTTTATTTTCATTTTATGTGTATGAGTGTATTGCCTGCATGTACGTGTGTGCACCTGTGTCATACAATGCCGTGGAGGTCAGAAGAGGGCATCACATTCCCCTGGAACTGGAGTTAAGGACGGTTCGTAGCCACCGTGTGGGTGCTGGGAATAGAACCCAGGTCCTCTGCAAGAGCAGTCAGTGCTCATAATCGCTGAGCCATCTCTCCAGCCCCTATTTATTTTTAAACTATTTAGTGTGGGAAAGGGTGCACATCCCACAGCACACATATGGAAATCAGAGGACTAGTCAAGTCTATTCTTTCCTTCCACTGTCTGGTTCCTGGGGATTGAACTTGGGTCATCAGGCTTGGCAGTGGGCACCTTGCCCACTGAGCCATCTCTCTGGCTCCAGATCAATTAATTTCAATATATAAATATGTAAAATATCCTTTTGAAATATAAATACTCTTCTGAATGCTTGTTTTCTGAAGAAGTGGTGATTTATCTAAGTACTACAACAGGTCTCTGTTAGCTAAAACTCACCCAGCTTTTTCCCCCTAATCTGTCCAGGTACATTAGCCCTTTTTAGTAGACATTCTTACCTCTTATGTTTTTCTGTCTTAGGAAACTAAGACTTAAAGAAGTTACTGAATTTATTAAGATCATGAGTTGATGTTTAGGCTCTGGTTTAAACACACAGTCTGTGTGATTTGAGAATACAGGTCTGTTTTTCTTTTTTAAAATCATATTTTACATGCATGTGTTTTGGCTGCATAAATGTAGGTGCACTCTATTGTGCAGTGTCCACAGAGGCCAGAAGAGGATGTCGGATCCCCTGGAACTGGAGTTACAGGTGGTTGTGAGCCGCCATATGGGTGCTGGGAACTGAACCTGAGTCTTCTGTGAGAGCAGCCAGTGCTTTTAACGCTGAGCCATGTCTCTAGCCCCAAGAGAGTACCGGTTTTGAATGCTATGCTGTTACTTGAATTTTAAGTAATAAGTAAAGTATAACTAAAGTAGAAGGGATTTACTTTGATACAAAAATTGTAATTTCTATATTATTTATTGCTGAGGAAGGAAAATGAGTTTTATGCTATGATAATGACATTTCTTCTTGGGTCTTTGCATGTTTAGTTTGCGGCCTTGTTATAGTGACTTACTAAGTTAAACCTTTCCTTTTCCTTTTCAGTTTGGCAATTCTATTAGCACACCTCTAAAACGCCGTAAAGTGAATGCTCATGAAACTTTAGTTAGTCCTGTGTCTTTAAACTGCCAAAATTCCTATGAAAGTGTCATTTTAAATTGCCGAAGTATACGAGTAGGAACCCTCTTTCGACTGTTAGTAGAGCCTGTAATTGTAAGTACTTTCTTATTTTAAAAAAAAAAAAAAATTTGTTTTCTCCCTGTAGCCCCAGCTGGCTTGGAACTCGCTCACTGCGTACACCATGTTGGCCTTGAACTCACAGAGATCCGCCTGCCTCTGCTTCCCAAGTGCTGGGGTTAAAGGCATGCACCACCACACCCAGCATGTTATTTTTATTTTATGTGTATAAGTATATTGCCTGCATCATGTATGTAAGTAACCTGTTTCATGCAGTGCCCCTGGAGGTTGGAAGAGGGTGTAGGATTCCTCTGGAACTGGTGTTACATACAGTGGTTAGCTGCTGTGTGGGTGCTGGGAATCAAACCTGGGTTCTCTGCAAGGGCACCCAGTGCTGTTAACCACTGAGCCATCACTCCATAAATACATTCTTAAGCTATGGATGCACTAGAGCAAGATTCAGAAAAGTCGATCATTAATATGTAAAGTTTGTTGAGAAGTTATGGAATTTGTCAAAATTATTTAAAGATTTCAGATTGCTTTAAGAGTATATTAATAATAACTGCTCACCATTTAAAACTAGTGGATATGTGGGTATCATGATGTAAAATTTAAAAGTAGTGTTAGATTCACTATAGGAAGACACATGTGGTTCTCCATATAAGTTCTGTCTTTGATTAGTATTTTATTGTACAGGTTGAGTATTCCCTAGTCCAAAAATCCAAATTTCTTTGAAATCTTTAACCTTGAATGTTGACAGGATGCTCAAAAATATTTGTATTGCCAGGGTATGGTGGTCTATACTCCAAGCTAGTTTGAAGATTGATAAATCAGGATCACCTGATTCCAAGACTGGCTTGGAAACTAGATGTGGTGACATGGTTACAAGCAAGCACACAAACAAAATGGACCAGGCTGGGCATTATAGTGAGAGAGGCATATCCCCCTATCTCAAGGAAAAAAAACTGAGTTGGACTTAAGAGTATAACTCAGTGGTAGACACCAAGATTAGCATGTCTAACATGTTCACAGCTTTGAATTCAATCCTCAGTAGTGGCAGGGAGAAGAGGGTAAAATTTTGGATTTGGAGCATTTAAAAAGTTTTATTTTCAAATTACGGGTGTATAAATAGTAAAGTCTAAGCAAATACTCCACATAGAAGTCTTGAAAATCTGAACCTTTCTGGTCCTCAGCATTTTAGAATTTTGGAGAAGGAACATTCAACTTGTTTTTGCTTCTCATACATCTGTTTACTCTGTCAATAATGATCCATCTTTTTAATACATTTCAAAGTATTTGCTTCCTTTTGTGATTTTCTTAACTTTTGAAACATGCAAAATAACCACTGATTCAGATTTATTAGACTGTGTTCTTCACATTGAAATAATTAGTTAGAAAAATCAAACCATTTTATAACCACCAGTAACTGATTTAGGTAAGAATTGTCAATGGATACTAAAACCATTATGTAAAAGATACTTTAAGTATCTTTCCTCACATTATTTCATTGCAAATGGACAGGTAGAGGAACAGTGGAAAACCTAGCAGTCACTGTCTTGGGCACGTGAATAAGCTTGTAGCATCAGTAGTGAGACTGCCTGACATTTCCAGTGTGACATGGTGGAGGAGTTCGGCACCTCACCTATATGCTACTTGTAGTGAAGACTAGAGTTGATAAGTGAAATATAACCTTGACAGAATAATGGTTGAAAAAAAGTTAAAACAAAGGTAAATGGCCCATTTAGAGCAGTTATGGAAATTTAATTATGAACTGTATGTTGAAAGACGTTAATCTTGATTTCTTAGATGTGCTCATGATGTTTTGGTTGCTTAGGAGAACCAAAACGTCTTAGAAAAAAACATCTTTTTTTAGAAGATACATGCTGAAGAATTTGGGGATGCTTAAGCATAACATTTAAAGAATAATGCAGTAGATGTATGAAGATATAACAGTGAATCAAGGAAAGGAATATTCAGGGTTCATTATAATATTCTGTCAACTTGTGTAATAAACGTTCTAAGTACTTGGAAAGAAGATGAACCATGCTTTCTGAATTTTTTTTTTTTTTTTTTTCAGATGGCAAGTGGGTGGTGGTGGTGAATAGTTCTCCTTAAATTTAAGTGCATAGTATATGGCTCAGGTTTTCTGCCTGTTTACTTGTGGTTCATACATGTCATTTAAGGTATATGGAACAAATATCTCCATAAGTCAATACTAACTTATCTTTTTGTTTTTAAAGTTTTCTTTAGATTTGATCAAGATACATCTTGATGGTAAGCTATTTTATATCTGTTCACTCACTAAAACTTTGTCTACATTAACACATTTTACAGGAATAAAAACATTAAATATTTACAGAATTAATTAGCTAATATATACATATCTTAAAGGGCCCTGTATCTTCATGCCATTTTATTCCATAAATGCAACACAACCTGTTTTATAACCTCCTTTATTTGGAAAAATTTGTATGTTTTTAAAAGGTAATTATTAAAGAGTTATTTATTGAGCATGATAAATGTTAAATTTTAAGCTTGTATTTCCTCCATTCGTGGTTTTGCCATCTTAAAACTTGATTTCTTTTCCATTTCTTTTTTTTTTTTTTTTGGTCTCTATTTCCCTCCAGGACCAGAAAGTGATCCTGTAGAAATTATTTTAAATACCTCTGATCTAACTAAATGTGAATGGTGTAATGTTCGGAAATTACCAGTAGTATTTCTCCAGGCAATACCAGCAGTTTATCAAAAGCTGAGCATGCAACTCCAAATGAATAAGGAAGATAAAGTTTGGAATGATTGTAAAGGACTGAATAGGTTAACAAGTAAGTTTTGTAGACAGATTACAGTAACATAGAGAGTATGTGAGTTCTGGAAAGTAGGTTTTATGAATTCATGCACCATGTGAGAAGTACAAGCAATGTTTTTCAGGTCATTTATTTCATTTAGTAGAATATAATATACATACTCTATAAAGTGGGTATTACCTGCGAGGAAAAGCATTCAGAAAGCAGAAGGGCCAAAGATAAAACCTGCATTTACCCATTTAGAAGTTTGTAAAACTGAGTTAAAACTCAAAAGATCTGTAGTTTGTAACTGTCTTAACTAAGTAAAAGTAGCTTAACTGATGTGTATATTAAGTCCATCATATAAAGCTGGAATCTTTGAACTAGAAAGTTTTAAAATGCATGAAGGGGTCTTAATCCTTTAAATAGATGTGGTTCCCCACATTGTTTCCATTTACCTCTAACATTTATGGAATGGCACACCTGCTTATAAGATAAGTACATTTGGGACTGGAGAGATGGCTCAGCAGTTAAGAGCAGTTGAAGTTCTGATAGAGGACCTAGGTTTCATTCCCAGCACCCACATGGCAACTAACAACTGTCTGTAACTCCAGTTCCAGGGGATCCAGTACCCTCTTCTGACCTCTATGGACATCAGGCAAATACTCAAAAGTAAATAAAAAGATAAATAAATTTTAACAATAACTGTAATCTCAGCTTAGTAATGAGTAAATGCCAGTTGTTAATGTAGTTGTAAAAGTTGGCACTCGCCTTTAATCCCAGCACTCAGGAGGCAGAGGCAGGCGGATCTCTGTGAGTTAAGGACAGGTGGGGCTACAGAGAGACCCTGTCTCAAAAAGACCAAAATAAAAAAAGTTGACACATTAGTGAATAGCAGCCTTGCAGTTCTAGTATCTGGAGATAATACCATGTTCTTGGCATTTTCCTGTTAGTCTTTGGTAAAATGTTAATTGATAGGAATTTAAGGCTATAAATTGGTTTTGACCCTTTTAGAAGAAGCAAATTGCCTACATCCACAAGTAGATTTGTTTGTGAGCTACTGCTAGATCTTGTTCCTTTTTTTGGTACTTCATGTAACATTGTCAGGTAGCACTGCCCTTTCTTCCATTATTTATTGTGTCCTTTATGTGTCAAACACTGTTATGGACATTTATTCCAGAACTTGTACATCTTGCAAATAATTGGTTGATACTGTGTGTGTGGGGGGGGGGTATGTGTGGCGTGCACAGGAATGAAAGCCAGAGGTTGACCTCAGGTGTTGTCCAGCTTTTTGAGACAGAGTTTCTCACTACCTGGGACTCATTCACCGTGCAGGCTGGCTGGCTTACAAGCCCCAGCGACCTGCCTCCCCAGTACTGGGAGCACATGCCACTATTCTCTGCTTTTTAATGTGGGTTCTGAGGATCAGACTCAGGTCTACATGTTTGGAGGGCAAGCATTTTACTAACTGAACCATCTCCCCAACCCTCCTTTGGCTTTTTTAGACAAGGCCTCACTCGGAATTCACTCTGTAGCCCAGGCTTGCCTCAGATTCTTGGCCATCCTCCTGCTGGAATTAAAGCATGAGTCACCATACCTAGCACTTGTTTGTGTGCTTTAAAATGACCTGTGTACTTATTTTATTCTTCCAGCCTTATAGCTGTATTTATTTCTTTACAGGTTTAGAAGAACAGTACATAATTTTAATTTTTCAAACTGGCCTTGATCCTCAGGCAAATGTGGTCTTTGAAAGCATAATTACTGACATTGGTATAAAGAATAACGTTTCCAACTTTTTTGCGAAAATTCCCTTTGAAGAAGCCAACAGTAGACTTGTGGCCTGTACAAGAAGCTATGAAGAGAGCATCAGAGGAAATTGTGTACAAAAAGAAAACAAAGTTAAAATGGTGATTGTGTTTAAATGCTTTAAGTGATTTTAATAGTGGGTAATTCTGTTTATTTTTTTGTGATGATGAGTAGCAAATCCAGAGCTTTACATGTGCTAGGCAGACACCTTGAGCCACACCCTCAATAGTAATGAGGAATGCTTTTCTTCAGTGCTGCTCATTTTCATGTTTGTGAATTCCATTAAAAAAAATTTTTTTTTAGATGTGATTGTAAACTGCTTCATACTAAAGCACAAATAGCACTTGGCTCTGGGATCACTCTTAGTTCCTTTCCATACTCCTAAGGTTAACCTTTCCTTTTTCTCTCATCTATTTTTCTTTACACTGCATTCTAAGCACACATATACATACACTGCTGTATTCAAATAAATTGTTATCCTGTGTCCTAGGGCTCAAGTTCAGGTCTCTTGTGAGTAGTACACATTTTTATTTCATGAACAACATGGAAAGTAAAGAATATAGCTTGACTTTGTCAAAATTTACATATTATTTTATGTGTATGTGTGTATTGCCTGCACGTAGGTAAGTGCACCTGTCATGCAATGCCCATGCAGGACAGAAGAGGCTGTCGGATCCCCTGGAACTGGAGTTAAGGACAGTTGTTAGCTGCCATGTGGATGCTGGGATTCGAACCCTGGTCTTCTGCAAGACCAGCCAGTGTTCTTAACTGCTGAGCCATCTCTCCAGCTCCAATTTGGTTATTTTTATATTTGTTTTGCTCAGTTTCATTTTTTTTGGTTTTACAGTCTTGATATCTAACTCAGGTTGACCTCAAATACACTGTCCCTAGCCCATACCTCTTAGGTTCTGGGATTATAGGTGTATGGCACCACACCCAGCTGAAAACTTTTCTCCTTTTTTAATTTTTTTAATTTGTTTGTTTATGAGGCAGGGTCTCACACTGTAAACCTGCCTTGCTTGGAAGTCTATGTAGACCAGGCTGGATTAAAGGCACCACCCGCCTGACAACTTTTTTTATACGTATATATATTTTTTTAATTTTTTAGAAGAAGCATTTCATTGCAGCTTTAACATACTCAATAATACTCTTTTTAATGCCCTATTGGGCAAGCATTCTGCTTCTCCATTAAGCTAGCCCCAAGTTCTAGTCTTGTGAACTAGACTAAACTAGGCTTCACATATAGTGGGGGCTCTGGGTATAAAAGGGGGGATCCTGCCCCTTTTGCAGAGTTGGGTTAGAGAATAAAGCCACAAAGCATGTGGGGTGGACTCAAGGTTCAATGAAAGACTCTTCCCTCTAGGAACTGTTAAGCTCACTGAACTGTATGTTCTCAAGCACCTCTGCCCCTGCTACCCATGGATTGACTAGCAGGTGAACTTAAGTCAGTCTTCACTGTTACCAGATGTTATGGAGCGTTGTTTTTTTTTTTCGTTTTGGTTTTATTTTTTTATTTTGTGTGTATGAGTGTATTGCCTACATGTATGTAAGTGCACCTGTGTTGTGCAATGCCTGCAGACAACAGAAGAGGACGTCAGATTCCCCTGGAACTGGAGTTTTATGTATGGTTGTTAGGTACCATGTGGATTCTGGGAATTGAGCCCTGGTCCTCTGCAAGAACAGACAGTGCTCTTAACCTCTGAGCCATCTCTCCAGCCCCTCTTTGGTTTTTTTGTTTTGTTTTGTTTTGCTTTTTGAGACATGTTGCTATGTAACCCTGACTGGCCCTGAAGAGACCAGGCTGACCTCAGGCTTATAGTGATCCTCCTGCCTGTGCCTCCCAAGTGTTAGGATTATAGGTATATATCACCTTGCCTGGCCTTCTAATTGAAAAACTTTTGGTGCCAGTTGTGATCATGGGCACTGATAGGGTATGCTAGAGAAGCGGAGGCAGGAGGATCACATGTGTAAAGCCAGGTGTAATGGTGTATGCCTTTAATAACAGCCCTTCGGAGGCAGAGGCAGGAAGGAGGATCTCCTAGTTCCTATTTCTTGAGTTCCAGGCCAGCTAGGGCTGCATAGTTGAGACCCTGACTTTAAAAACAAAGCAAACGAAAACCACCTTTTTTCTGTCTTGCCTGCTCTTTTTATTGAAAAATTTCCCAATTAACTTTGTAAATTGGTAAATTCCTTCACCAGGTATCCTTTGAATCTAAAATACAACTTAGAAGCAAACAAGAATTCCAGTTTTTTGATGATGAAGAAGAAACTGGAGAGGGTCATACCATCTTCATTGGACCTGTAGAAAAGTGAGAAAAATGAGAGTTTTTATATTTGCAATACTTAAATATTTTCTCTGTTTTTGTATGTTTAATGATTTTTTTTTTATTTACTTGATTACAGATTAATAGTGTATCCACCACCTCCAGCTAAGGGAGGCATCTCTGTTACTAATGAGGACCTGCACTGTCTAAGTGAAGGAGAATTTTTAAATGATGTTATTATAGACTTTTATTTGAAGTAAGTTAACCTTTTAGTAAACCTTTAACATTCTGTCAAGTTATATGTCTTTTTAAATCTTTGTTTTCTAAAGTCTGTTTTGCTCTTAATTTGTACCATTGCCACATGCTCTGAGACACGTCAGAAGTCATTTACTCCGACATTAGCTGTTTCCACATTTTTTAAATGCGACTATCTAAAAGACTTAGGAGGGTTAAATGCGATGATATATGTGAGGTAGTGTTGACAGTGCCCAGCACAAAGTTCGCACAAATAGTAACTTACTATGCATGTTTACTGGTTTGTATTGTGAAATTACTACATGTATAAAACAAAGTAGAACTTAGCTTCAATACATCCAGACTAATATTTTCTAGCTTTATAGTTTATTTCAATATATTTCATAATGCAAAACATGTTTTCAAACTTGGTTGTTGAAACTTGCCCAACCAATTGATGTAATAGACTGGTAGTGGAATTCATCTCACAGTTTGGAAGGAAAAACATTACTCCAAAGGATGATTTGGGGGGAAGTGGAGTATCTGTTTGGGTGAGAATTCTTTATGTGTGCTATGTGCATGCATATATGTAGATAGAGGTCAGGACAACCTCAGGTGTCATCCTCAGGAACTCGGTCCACCCCCTTTGAAACAGGGTTTTTTCCTGGCCTCAAGCTCACCAATTAGCTTAACTAACTTGCCCATGAGTCCCAGGGATCCTCCTCCCCAGCACTGAGATTACAAGCTCATGCCTCCATGCCTGGCGTTCTTTACATGGGTACTCAGGTCTTCATCCTTGCAAGATAAGCACTTCATGAACCGAATCATTCCCCAGCCCAAGAATGAAGGCTTTCCTACCTTACCCTGCCCTCCCCTCCTTTCCCTTCTTCCTCCCCTCCCCTCCCCTCCCTTCCTCTTTCCTTCCCTCCCCTCTTCTTTTGAGATAGAGTCTCTCTGTAGCCCTAGCTGACCTGGAACTCATTATGTAGCCTGGACTCAGGCTACCCTGAGCCTCACAGAGATCCACCTTCCTCTGCCTCCCAAGAGCTAGGATTAAAGGCATGTACCACCACGCCCAGCCTTTTACGTTTTTTGATTGACTGTTTTTTTATTATTATTATTATGTGCTTGAATGTTTTGCCTGGTTGTACGTAAGTGTGCCTGTGCATGCAATACCCACAGCAACCAGAAGAGGGTGTTCAGTCCTCTGGAATTGGAGTTACAGATGGTTTTGAGCTGCCATGTGGGTGCTGGGAAGTGAACTCGGGTCCTCTGGACATGCAGCCAGTGATCTTAACTGCTGAGCCATCTCTCCAGCCCCAAGAATGAAGTTTTAATCAAAGAAATCATAATTAAATTTCTGTATATGCTTTATGAAAATTTAGATGAGGAATAATTTCAGAAACCAAATTAATGAACTTGAAGTTATGAGGAAATGATATTTTTTGTTAAAATATAGGACCAACAGGACTCCAGAGTTGATTAAATAAATATCACAGTGGCTGGAGAGATGGCTCAGCGGTTGAGAGCACTGACTGCTCTTGCAGAGGACCCGGGTTTGAGTCCCAGCACCCACATGGTGGCTACAAGCTGTCCTTAACTCCAATTCCAAGGGAATCTGAAGCCCTCTTGTGACTTCTGTGGCATTGCACAACACGGGTGCACTTACATGCAGGCAATACACTCATACACATAAAATAAAAATAATAAATAAAATATTTGTAAAATAAATATTATGGATGGTGGGCCAAATAATTCCTACTTTTCTGGCTCATACAACCTGCTAAAAAATGTTGGCACAAAGTAAAGTATTAAGTGCGGAAACAGACTTAGGTGGGATGGCACAAGTTGCCTTTTAGGGATCTATAATAGAAAACAACAGTGCCAATGTATGGTTCTAGAAACCAAGTTCTGTATGGAGATAATAGAGGAATTAAAATGAAGGAATCGTTACTTCTAGTGCTTTTTAATTATGAAAATACGTGAAATTGTCTGGGTAAGGATATCAAATAAGATAAAGAGCCATAAGGGCAGGCCTTGAGTTCCTTCGCAAGATCCCGGTCCTAAGGAAGAATAAACTGTCCTTCTTTTCCATTGGATACAATATCAGTGTCTATTGGGAAACCATCCAACGTCAAGGCATCTATATTAGTTTTCTCATTGCTACAAATACTGACAAAGGGTGCTTAAGAGAGGGTTTGTTTTGGCTCACAGTTGGAGGGCACAGTCCATCATGATGGGAAGTCAGGGCAGCAGGAGCATGAGGTGGGTAATCATAGTGCATCTGCAGTCCAGAAAGCAGAGAGTGGTGAATGCTGGTACTAGGCTCATTTTTTTCCTTTTCATTCCGTTTAGGATCAAAACCCATGCAGTGATGCTACCCGGAGTTAGGATAGGTCTTCCCATATCAGTTAACCCAGTCTGGACACTTGGTCACACACATGCCTAGAGGCTTGTCTTCTAGGTGATTCTATATCCTGTCAAGTTGACAGTACTGACCTTCACAATGCCTCCATACCTCTGCTATCAGCGGAGGCAGAGAACCTACACTTCCTCTGCTACCAGGCCTAATACAACAGCGTCCAAGAAGTACAGCGGCACGGGAAATCTGCTAAAACACAAGACTTAGATAGCACCCAGCATCTCTAGCATTCAAGATCTCCAACTTTCTATTGAAAAATCAGTATCTCTCCAAGGTTAGGAAGATCTCAACAGTGAATTAGAATATACATCAACACCAAGAAGACAACAGATACTAGAATTACAAGACATTTAAAGCATTAGTGATTAAAAGTATTTTGATGAACACCAGGACCATGTGTGAAACAAAACATGAAGGTAGAAGAAATAAATTGAAAATTTTAAATGAGTACTATAGGGGCTAGAGAGATGGCTCAGCAGTTAAAAGCACTGACTGCTCTTATAAAGGATCTAGTACCCACATGGCGGCTAACTGTAACTTTCCGTAACTCCAGTTCCAGTGGATCCGATTGAATGCATGTGTGCACTTAACATACATGCAGGCAAAGCACTCATAATCCTAATAAAAAATAAAATGAACGCTATAAAACCTAAACTGAAATAAGTACAATAGCAGAATGGAAAGTACAAATGATAGAAGTAGTGAACTGTCTGCGGGAATACCCTGCCTGCAAGAAACTTCAGAGATATTGATATATGTGCCCTGGAGGAAATAGATGGAAAAAGATAGACCACACAGACTTTAATAAGAAGGCAGAATAGCTGGGCTTGGTGGCCCACGATGAGGCAGAGTCAGGAGGATATCAATGAGATCAAGGCCAGCCTGGTCTGCTTATCAATTTCTAGGCCAGCTGGGCCTATAGGGAGATCCTCTCTCAAAAAAAAAGAAAACCTAAAAAAATAGAAAAGGAAGGAAGTAACTATATTAACATAATAGACTTCTTAATTTAAAAAATTGTTAGACACAGTATTATTATATAATGATAAAATGATCCACAAAGAAAATGTAGCAACTCTAAATCTGTATGTACCCTACAACAGAGCTATACAATTCATAAACCTGATAGTCTGAAAGTAGAAAAGGACAAATAGTCATGTAATTGGAGGCATCAGTACTACTCTGAACAGTTGCTTGGACAACTAGAAACAAAATTAATAGGGAATAGAAGAACTCAGCACTATCAACCAATAGATTGTACTTGACTTTAGGAAGTAACATACTCACAGTTAACTACATCCTGTTTTCAGGAGCAGTATTTTTCCTTTTGAAGATTTAATGGTAATTGAGTGTTTTACAGTGAGATAAAATTCACTGTATTCTGTGGCAAGAAAAACTGCCCTAGATTTTAAATAACTTTCTAAGACTTCCTTGGGAACTAACATTCTGCAACATTAGCCCCCTCCAAAAAAAACCCCCAAACTCAGAACCTGTTAGTCCCGCTCCTGTCTGTATGATCTTTCATGTTCTACAATCCATATATAATGAGATCATGTGGTATATGGGCCTTTGTAACTAAATTTTTTTAAAGACTTATTTATTTTTATTTTACATATATGAGTGTTTGCCTCCATGTATGTTTGTGCACCTCATGCTTATCTGGTGTTCACAGAGGCCAAAAGAAGGTGTTAAATTCCTTGGAATTGGGGTTACAGGTAGTTATGAACCACCATGTGGGTGCTGGGAACCAAATCTGGGTCCTCTTCAAGACCAGCAAGTATTCTTAATACTGAGCTATCTCCGTAGTCCTATGACTAGGTTTTTACTTAGTATAATTTTTTTTTGAGGGGGGGCTAAAGAGATGGTTCAGTGGTTAAGAACACTTGTTGTTCTTACACAAGAATCCCAGCACCCACATGGCAGCTAACACTGACCTCCATGGGCATTGCATGACACGGGTGCACTTACCTGCATGCAGGCAATACACGCATACACATAAAATAAAAATAATAAATAAATTTTTTTTTAAAGTTTAAAAAAAATTTTTTTTGATCCTAAGTATAGCACTTCATTTCTCCTTATTAAATAACATTTCATGGGGGTGGAAAAGATGGCTCAGTGGTCAAGAACACTGGTTACTCATGCTGAAGACCTGGGTTCCAGTTCCAGTGCACTTACATACATGCAGGCAATACATGCATACACATGAAAATAATAAAATAAAAATATTTTAAATAACATTCCATTCTATGTTTTGTTTTTCCATTCTTTAGGTAATTAGCATTTCTGTCATTAATAATTTTATTTTGCTACTTTGAGTAATGTAACTATTTTTATATCAAATGAGCTGTTCTCTACTGGATGATTATTTTTTGCTTAAAATAGATATTTGGTGCTTGAAAAACTGAAGAAAGAAGAAGCTGACCGAATTCATATATTCAGTTCTTTTTTCTATAAACGCCTTAATCAGAGAGAGAGGAGAAGTTCTGAAACAACTAATCTATCGTAAGTCAAATTCTTCTAAGAGACAATACAATATCAACACATTAAATCATTTTTCCTGCTGTATTCGTCAGGAAATAATGACAAGGAAAAAAGTCAGTACATATTTTATATGGGTACAATTTTCCTTAACTTTTTTAAAAATTTCTATTCTCAAGTGCTTGAATTCATAGATAACAAAATGAAGGATGATATTTAACACCCCCGTGCCCAAACTTTGTGGTTGATGTGCTTGTTTTTAAATCTGCAACCAGAAAAGATGTACCAACTCAGGGTTTATGTTCAGCTGCCTTAAAATAATACTGCAGTAGTTTTAAGGAATAACTTTTTAAAAAGCATTTACTTACTGAGCAACACAGAGTTTTCCCCTTTATAAGTCACTGTATATGAACTGGAGCATTACAGCCATTTTAGAAGGTAATAATTTATCTTTTTCTTACAGAATACAACAGAAACGACATGGGAGAGTAAAAACATGGACCCGACACGTAGATATTTTTGAGAAGGATTTTATTTTTGTACCCCTTAATGAAGCGTGAGTAAGAATTTCATGTAAATGTGATTGTAGTCTTTTAAGAATGTGCTTATGAGATGGATTCATTTTAACACATCTTTCTGAAGTTTGTTGTAAACATTGAAAATGCTTGTATATATCGAAGAAGTGAAGTGAATGCAGTTTCCCAGTGACTGATAGAAGATGTTGAATTTGGCATAGTAGATTGGATAGCTTGTTCTGATTTTATGTTATTGGTCAAGGTGGAACAGAGTCATTTAAAAAATGATGCTTGTGTGCTAGAAAATACTCTATAGAGATGATTACCATATTCAAAAAACTGATTTGCTTACAAGAAGAATTTGAATCTTTAGTTTAAAATACACTTTTTGTTTTTAACAATAAAGGAAAAGGTAGTTGGATTTATGCCATTTGCTCACATTGAAAGTTATGCCATCAGGAGCAGTTTTCTAAGTACTTAAATGGACATGCTTAGAGATCTCATTATTGTCCTCCAGTCACTGTGGAGGTATGGATGTATAGTATAGCACTGCAAGTGTGTCTGTGTGTGTGTGTGTGTGTGTGTGTGTGTGTGTGTGTGTGTTTCAATTACAAGACCTATGCTCTGTACTTAGACCAGTCAAATGGATAACCTAGGGAGAACATCAGTTATAGCTACAAAGCACAACTTACTCAAAGCTATTTATTTTTATACATGGTATAATACTGAAAAAGAAGTTTTAAATATCTTTATTCTGTCTTGGACTTTATCATATAAAGTAACATGAACTTATTAGAAAGAGGAAAGCTGTTTGTAATAAAATAATAATAATTTTAGATTAAAATATAATTTGAGTCATTACACAATTTAGGAATGGGGCATATTCCCCTTTAGTCACTGTTAAGTCCTCCTGCTAAGGAGGTTTCTACCAGTGCTTCCACTCCTCTTCCAAGTGGTAGAGAATAACCAGAGATGCAGGGCTAATACAGGATTCTGCACCAGGACTGTGCCCATATGTTGATAAAAAAGTAAAGTTCTGGGTTTTTGAGGTTAGAAGTTATTACATGATTTAGAGTTCTCCTTTCAGTCAGGAAAAAAGAAAGACATTTTTCCTGCTTTTTAAATGAGGCAACAGAAAATTCATGGTTTCTCTATATTTATATAGTTAAGGAATGTTTAAAGCTGTTAGAGAGTATGATCACAGCTATAGGTTGAAAATCACCACATTATACCATTTCATCAAAATTGTTTTTATTGATTTTGAGTCAAGATCTCATAAAGCCATGTTGTCCTCAAACTGGCTTTGTTGCCAAAGATGACCTTGAACTCCTGCTCCTCCTCCTTCCTAAAAGTGAGATTACAGTGCTTTGCCACCTTGCTTGGCTATATTATCAGTTTTGAAGCACATTTTTCTTTATTTTGACATTTCTAAAACTGAGATAGAACTGTGCTGAAGAGTTATTGGAAATGAGGAAGTTGATATGTTCTTTCTGCTCCCCTAGCCTGTCCTAAGTCCCATCTTATCCTGAGAATTAATACCTAAGAATAGGAAAGAAGTGTTCATCCACCTGGCCTTCATAATACTAAGGATCAAACCAGTGTTTATGACCTTCATACTGAATGCTGTCACATGAAGATAGTATTTTTTAATACCACCTTGGGGGTCATCTGATACAGAAACAAGATTATTGAATAACTAACTGACTAATGTCATGTTCAGCTTGGGGAGATAGCTCAGTGGTAGAGTACTTGCCTAACATGGCACACTTTGGAGGTGAGGTGTGAATGCCCTACCACATGATAGATTCTTTACTCAGATAATAAGCCTTCTTATATCTGTAGCTTATCTGTTGCATCCTAGCACATCATCCTGTGACAAATAATAATTCCTCAAAGAAAGTTGTTAATGACAGCCTAGACTATACAGCTTCTTACTGAGAATTAAAAAAAAAAAAGCAAAGCATTGTTCACAAAAGCTTTCAAAAACATTTCCATTGATGTTTATTGCCAAATATGATAAGCTTTTATAATAATATATTTAGTAGTGTCATTTGTTTTACAGTGCACACTGGTTTTTGGCTGTTGTTTGTTTCCCTGGTTTGGAAAAGCCAAAGTATGAGCCTAATCCTCATTACCATGAAAATGCAGCCGTGCAAAAAAGTTCAACTGCAGAGGACAGTTGTATTGCTACTTCCTCCAATGAAATGGACAGTTATTCACAGAACTCTCCTGCCAAGCCTGTAATTAAGAAGATGCTAAATAAAAAGCATTGCTTATCTGTAACCAGTTCAAGTGCTGGACAGGAAGAAAGTGAGCCTTGTTACCGGAGAAACACATACAGTGTGAAATGCAGTGTGAAAAAAAAAAATCATGCTATAAGTGAACATGAAGAACCAAATAAAGGAGAATCTGCATGCCAGGAGGTTGTTGATAGGACTAAAAGTGAGAATGGCCTGCAGGATGAATGTTTAAGTTCTATACATCATCCAGGTATGTACTGATATGTTTTCAAAGAGTTAAGAAAATCAAAATAAAAATATTTTAAAGGATCATATAATTTTTCTTGTCAGCATTACTGAGGTAGAATTTACTTAGTAACATTAACTTCTTTCATGGCTATATCTTGTTTATAAATATATTTATTCAGTCACGGTGGCCAAAATTTAGACTCTCCATCACTCCCAACAATCCTTCCTTGACCCCTGGAAGCACAGGGGTCCAGTCTGAAGTCTGAAATGCTCCAGAATCTGAAACTTAATCACCACTGAAAAGTTCAACACCTGACCTTGTGTCATAAACATACTACAAATGTGTGAAAATAGCTTCAGGCAGTGTATATATGGTATACACAAAAAAATTATTTCATGTTAGGCTTCGGTTTCATCCCGTCATATTATACATATCTTATTTGCAAATAACCCAAAATTGAAAGAAAAAATTTAGAGTCTAAAACATTTCTTGCCCAAACATTTCGGATAAATATTTAACCTAGATGTACAAGCTTCACGCTTTCTACTTATAAGAGCTTGAATTTATTTTTATTTCATAGGAAATTTCCTCTCTTCAAAATAAACAGCAGTCTCACAGGTTCAGTTTACAAGATAAATATTTTCAGTCTCATCAGTGTTCAGATTGGTTAATTGCGTCTTAGTGACCAAAGGCAGCAAGGCAAGCTTTGTCTTTCAAACAGAGTGGGATTCCTCATTCTCCTTCACTTTGTTCAGTAGGAAGAGGGTACTGCTTTTCTTTTCTATTTCCTTTCAGCTCTCAAAAATTGCTTTTCAATTCCTTCAGTTAGTTTCTTATTTCTAGCCCCTTCAACAAAAGTCTGAAAGTTCTAGTCAAATTCTTAAATTTGATATCAAGACACTTGACTCTCCAACCCACAAATATTCCATATGCTGACTTGAGCGTTACACAATGTATATGTACATCAAAACATCATATTCTTCCCCATAAATGAGTACAGGATACCCCCTTCCTCCAGCTCCTGAGTATCAGACCCAGGGCTTCACACAACTAGACATGCTCTACCTATTACTGAGCTATGATCTCCAGCCTCAGAAATAGGTGCAGGTATTATGTGTCAAATAAAAATTATGTCTGTTCCATAAAATCCATAATACTATGTAAAGTCTGTGCCCTGCAAACATTATGAGTAGACTATCATCCATCCATCCTTCCATCTGTCTGGTAGTGTTTTGAGGCGGGATCTCACTGTATAGTCCTGGATAGCATCAAACTAATTAAGATTTGCCTTCTGCCTCCCAAGTGCTGGGAAATCTTGAATTATGGATTTAATTCTAGCACATGGGAGGCAGAGGCAAGCGGATCTCTTTGAGATTGAGGGCCAGCCTGGTATGCATAGTGAATTCATGGCCAGCCAGGATCTCAAGAATTATAGAAAGCTGTGAGTACTGAACACATTCTTGGTTCTTCCTCAATTTGTATTATCTTAGGAATTTGGGGTTGGCTCTGCTGCCACATGCCTGTAATCCCAGCATTTGGGAAGTGGAGACAGGAGGATCAGGGATTCAAGGCCAGCCCTAGGTACATTGAGACCTGTCTCAAAAAGCCAAAAAAGGGAGAAATCTTTTGTTGAGCTCTTGTGAGGATTTTGTTATACTAAGCTGCATAAAGACCCACAGCCATGAAATAAGAAATGGAGAGGGGAAATGTAGGAGACAGCAGAAATGTCCACTAAAAGCCAAGCAGATAGATACTTACCTAGCTTATTTTCCAGTCTAGTTCATTAGGGTACAGTTAGGCAAAGTAGCTAATCAAGCAAGTACGTAACCTGTAATTCTTTGAGTTTCAGTGTTTTAATTCTTGAGTAGAAGTGGAAAACAAAAAAACTAGGAAATTTCCAGAATAGGAAAATGAAAATCTCCAGAACAGTAGTGACAGCTTGGGTTTTTCAGTAAGAAGCAATTGGGAGGCAGAAGCATGGGGACAAGGGAATTTTAGTGTGGTTTCTCTTCTTTTTGAGTCTTTGAAATTGACTGTGAGTAAGGACTGATATAACTCAGTGCTAGAGTGCTTGCCTTGCATTTGTGAGGCCCTGGGTTCAGTCTGCAGCACCACCAAAATGACACTATCAAGAACAGTATTAATTGTGTTAGTGGGTAGTTCCCACACTTGTGAATACATGGTTATTCTTGGGTATTCGTAGAAGATTGGCTCCAGCCTTACTTCCCCCAGGGTTATCTAATTCCTTTGTTGCTCAGGTTCCTCATATATAATATGATGTAGTGTCCACATAATGTGTGTACATTTTTAATTTTTTTACTGATGTCTTATTTTTACTCTTTGAGTTTTTATTCATGGTGTTGGGGATTGAATTCAGGATCTGTACACCAAGTTCTCTGAATGTGGCTTTCCCACCTCTGAGAGGATGGCTAAACAGCCTTATATACAATGACAGCATATGAAGAGTTGCAGACTACAAAGTTTGCGCTCTGATTATTGCCTAAGTAATTGAAATCTATGTGGCTTTGAGTATAGCTTATAATGTGAGTCAGAAGACATACTTTAGATATGTTATCCAATTTTAACTTCAGATCTGTGTAGTTACAAATATTCACTAATAGTGTCAGATAACATGCTACAGTAAATAACTGGTCCTGTGTTTACAGTTTCTAAGACCAACAGTTGAAAGATAACATAGTATTTGGCTCTTGCTGTTCTTTGTTGTTTTCAGTTGACATCATGTAAAACCAATTTACTTAGTAAGGGTACATGAGAAACATGAGTTTAAATTTTTAGAATTACACGCAGCTTCTTCAGATGATCTCACTTAACAAAATTCAATTTTAAAATTAATTTTTACTGAATTTTTGTGAATTTCATATGATTTTTTAAATTTTTTATTATTTTTATTTTATGTGTATGCTTGTGTTGCCTGCATGTAGGTAAGTGCACCCATGTCGTGCAGTGCCTGTGGAGGTCAGAAGAGGCTATTGGATCCCCTAGGACTGTAGTTATGGACAGTTGTTAGCTGCCATGTGGGTGCTGGGATTCAAACCCAGGTCTTCTGCAAGAACAACCAGTGTTCTTAACCACTGAGCCATCTCTCCAGCCCCAGTCATAGACTATTTTTTTTATTGCTTTTGAAATGAACTTACAGTTTAGTTAGCACTTTCTATAGATAGGAATGATTTACTTCTAGAAATAATCATACTGTAATTGACTAATTCTTAAATGCCTGTGGATTTATATACATTCAAGTATAGATGTTTTAAATTTAAACAAAACACTGCTTTCTGAAACAGGTAAGTTGAAGAGGTTATATTTTTTTGTACAATAAAGAGATTTATCATTGTATTGGTTAGTTATTTTAAGTAGTATGCTTCTGATTACAAAACTTTGATCTATATATCTTTTTACGAATATATGAGTGTTTTGCCTGCATGTATGTACATACACCATGTGCATGCAATGCCAGCATAACAGCCAGAAGACAGTGTCAGATCCCCTGGAGTTAGGGATGATTTTTGGCTGCCATCTAGGTCCTGAAAATTGAACCCAGGTCCTCTGGAAGAACAACCAGTGCTCTTTACTGCTGAGCCATCTCTCTCCAGCCCCTATATTAGTATTTTAAACCTCTTAATAGCTTAGTAATCTATATCAGAGTAGTTTGTTTTTGTTGTTGCTGGGGGGCTTTGGGGAGGGGGGGAGTAGCTGTTGGCAGGGTTTTACTGTGTATCCCCTGACCTGCCTCAAACTCAATATGTAGACCAGGCTGGTCTCAAATTCACAGAGATTCACCTGCCTCTGCTTCCTGAGTGCAGGGATTAAACGCCTGCTACATCGTGCCTAGAAAACCTCCCTTTTTAAAATTTTGAAATATTGTGCAGTGTTTTAAACAATATTGATAGGCCAGGCGTGATGACTTTGATCCCAGCATTCAAGAGGCAAAGGCAGGCAAATCTCTGTGAGTTTCAGGCTAGCTGGGACTATAGGGAGACCCTGTCTCAAAAATACACCCCCCCCCCCAAATATTCATGTTTGGTATTAAAGTCTCTGATTCATTATTCATGTAAATCTTAAATTTCTTTTTTTTTTTAATTTTACTATTTTTATTTTATGTGTATGCGTGTTTTGCCTGCATGTAGGTAAGTGTACCCGTGTCGTGCAATGCCCACGGAGGTCAGAAGAGGCTGTTGGATCCCCTGTAACTGGAGTTACAGACAGTTGTTAGCTGCCATGTGGATGCTAAGATTCGAACATGGGTCTTCCGCAAGACCAACCAGTGTTCTTAACCACTAAGCCATCTCACCAGTCCCTTAAATTTCTTTTAAATACTTTGTTTGATAAGCTTCTTTCAGCAAAAGAATTGATTTTTAACTATTTTGATTCAGAGTGGACTTTTAAGAGCATCCATTTCGACTCTTTCCTGTGAATCATTTTCTTTTGTACTGCTAGAGCCAACAGTTGGCTTGCGTGGTTCTATTTTATTGAAAAAAAACTAATCATATAACCAAACATGATTGGAAAATACACAGAACTAGAGTGGCTTGTCCATAACCTCCATCCTAGTAAGATTGTCATGTTTGTATTTTTTTATGCTTTGTCTAGAAGTTAAGTCAATTTATTTGAATAAATTTACCCTTTACTGTATAATTTCCATAGTTTCTTAATTTTAAAATTGTACATTTTTCATTTTGTCTTTTTTAGCTTATTGTTTTTTGTTTTAGACTGTTGTAGCTTCCATTATTAGTTAAAGATATCTGATACAAAATAATTTATGTCACATGTATTCAACTTATACACACATTTATGTAACTGATAACTTTGCTTTTAATTTTTCATGATTTCAGGACCTGAGTAGTAGAAATTCTGTAATTGGCATGTCAGTCCACAGTTTTATTTAAAATAATGTACTTCATATTTGTTATATTATAGGCTAAAGCAGATTGTGTCCTTAACTACTATCATTAATTACTAGCATTTGTTTCCATATTCTGTGAGTTATGGGGCATTCGCTTTTTATCGTATCATGTTTCTTATTACTACAGATGGCTTAAGCAAAATCAGACTAAACTATGGGGATCAGTCAACTGAAGGTGGGAAAATGCTTGAGGATGAACTCATTGACTTCTCAGAAGATCAGGATAATCAGGTGCAGTATCTGTTTTATGTAATCAGAGTCCATAAAGACCTACTACAAAACCTTACAAACCATTCCTTCCGGCAGTAACAGTTGTTACGGCTTCTGGATTTAGCTGTATTTCAAAACAAAATCAGGTTTCAAGTTCCCAGGATAAATGTGTTAGTGTTGTTTTTGTTGTTACTGCTGTTGTCCTTGTTACAGGGACTGAATTCTAATATTACCTCTGAAATTTATGATATAATTAATTCTGTTGTATTAGGGACCACACAGCTCAGTGATAGAGGGCTTGATTAGTATGTACAAGGCTTTGGGTTTGGTGCACAGCACAGATAAAAGGAAAACTTAATCTCTCAGTCCCCTTCTCCCCTTTCTCCTTCCTCTTACATGACATTTATGGGCTGGCCTTAACTTTTTCAGAGGCAAGTGGCTAAATTTCAAATTAATAGTACATAATAATAAAATGATAGCATTTTTAAAATTTTTATTTTTTTTTATTTTATGTGTATGAGCATATTGCCTGCATGTATGTGAGTGCACCTGTGCTGTGCAATGCTGCAGAGATCAGAAGAGGGCTTCAGATTCCCCTGGAGCTGGAGTTAAGGACAGTTCGTAGCCACCATGTGGGTGCTGGGAATCAAACCTGGGTCCTCTGCAAGAGCAGTCAGTGCTCCTGACCGCCGAGCCGTCTCTCCAGCCCCATAAAATTATAGCATTTTTTTTCCACTTTTCCAACAGCTGTTTTCTTATTTTTCCAATGACTTTTCCCCTTTTGTCTAATTTAATGTATATGTATTATGGTAAGAGCAGATAACATCAATTAGCATAAACAAATTCTATTATTTCCTGAATTGTATTTATCCTAATAAATGTAAACACTAAGAATGTATTATACTTTTGAAAATACTTTACTAATTGTGAGAAAAGCTTGTGAGAATCTATAGTACACTATTTCAAAAATTATCTTTTTGATTATATATATATATACATATATATGTGTATATATATATAATTTGGGGGGCAGGGGGGCAAAACAAACTTTTAGTTTTTCACATGGTTTTTCCTTTTTGCCAATCTTGGTTGGAGGTAGGAGGGAGCCAGTTTTTGGTATTAATGCCTTGGTTTACTTTTTTTAAAAAAAAATATTTTATTATTTTTATTTTATGTGTATGCATGTATTGCCTGCATGTAGATAAGTGCACCCATGTCGTGCAATGCCCGCGGAGAACGGAAGAGGCTGTTGGATCCCCTGGAACGAGTTACGGACAGTTGTTAGCTGCCATGTGGGTGCTGGGATTTGAACCCGGGTCTTCTGCAAGAACAACCAGTGTTCTTAACCGCTGAGCCATCTCTCCAGCCCTGGTTTACAGTATTTTAACATCCTTTGATTAGATTAACCAGTTCACATATCAGAACCATTATAAACTCATATAATCCCAGAAGGCTTCAGTATCCCTTATCTGGAACATGTAGACTGAGACATGTTTCAGATTCTGAAGTTTTTTTCAGATTTTATATTGTTTGTATATAGAAATGTTTTGCCATGTTTGTTAGAAGTTTTGTCACCTCTGATGATACTTTCTTGGGTTATTAGTTATTTAGATAGTAGGTTTTTTAATAATTATAGACTATCTTTTATAGGATGATAGCAGTGATGATGGATTCCTTGCTGATGAAAACTGCAATTCAGAAATTGGACAGTGGCATTTAAAGCCTACTATCTGTAAACAGTAAGCATTAACTATATACCTTGCAAACCGTATGGTTTTTATTAGTCATATAATAAAACACAACTGGACAATTGTTATTTAAACAGACACTTAAGTAGAATTCACAAGTACTCTCAAAGTCATTGAGGAAAGTGGGTTATGCTGTATCCAGTCATCAGGAAGGAGTATGGGTGATCATTTCTGTCTCCACTTCTCAGTTTTCCCAGCCTCTGTACCCACAGATGCAGAGACATCTTTGAAGTGAGTCACTATAACTTTATTATATAGTGGAGTTTTCTTAATGTGTATGAATATTTTGCCTGTATGTTTTGTAAGTGCACTTCTATTGTGCAGTGCCTGTGGACATCAGAAGAGGGCATCAGATCCCCTGGAACTGGATGGAGTTACAGACAGTTGTTAGCTGCCATGTGAGTGCTGCTAATTGAACCTGGGTCTGGAAGAGCAGCCAGTGCTCTTACCGGCTGAATTATCTTCAGCCCTATTATATAGTGTTTTGGAGGAGGGAAAAAAAATGTGTGTGTGTGTGTGTGTGTGTGTGTGTGTACATATATATGAATGAATATATATGTACATACACATATGTATGTATCAAAACAGTAACATGTGTTTGAGGCTTACAGTGGTTCCATATCTATTTCAAAAGTCTGTAGAGTGACTGAAGGCAGTCATACCCTGTAGACTTTGTGTCCTACCTAGAGACTGCTCTCCGGCTGAATGATCTTTAGCCCTATTATATAGTGTTTTGGAGGAGGGAAAAAAAATGTGTGTGTGTGTGTGTGTGTGTGTGTGTGTGTGTGTGTGTGTGTGTGTACATATATATGAATGAATATATATGTACATACACATATGTATGTATCAAAACAGTAACATGACTTTGAGGCTTACAGTGGTTCCATATCTATTTCAAAAGTCTGTAGAGTGACTGAAGGCAGTCATACCCTGTAGACTTTGTGTCCTACCTAGAGACTCACTCGGGTCCTTCTCAGTATTGCATCCTACACTGTTTTATATGTGGTGTGGTTGAGGCAGTATGTTTATTACTGAAGAGACAAGTTGCAGGTGAACCTTGATAATTTGTGAGTCATTGCCAGTTTTCAGAGGTATGTGTCTATTCTGAAGTAGCTCCAGAAGCTCCCAGATTGCTTAGGTGATGCACACTTCATTTCATTTACTGTAGAAAATGTTAGCAAAAACTATGTTAATAGACTTTTAAAAACAAACTCCATTTATGAAAGTAAATTTAGAGACCTATGACAGTTAAGCGACTTGTTTCAGGCCTGAGTGCTGTAACTTAGGTATGTGCTTAGCACGTACGAGGCTCTGAGTTCCATTCTTAGAAAGAAACCAGGTGCAGTAGAGTGGGGAGAGAGAAAAAGATCAACATTTTAGACTTACTTTTGGCGCTTTAGACTTTCTCACTTGAGTTCACAACATGCCTTTTAAAGAATTGAAATTCTAAGATTATGTCTGCATTGCATAGATTTTTCTAAAAAAAAAAAAAAACCCTGCATCCTAAATTCTTGTTATCTGTTTTATTTTCTGTAACAAGGTTTAGTTTAAAATGGGCTTATGCTCAGATGTGGTAGTATTTGCTGAAGCAGAGGCAAGCGGATCTCTGTGAATTCTAGGCCATACTGGTCTATATAGACATTCTAGGCCAGCCAAAGCCACATAGTGAGACCCTGTCTCCAAAAAAACAATTTTAAGGGGTTACAGAGATGGTTCACTGGTAAAGAGCACTGGCTGCTCTTGCAAAAACCCAGATTTAGTTCCCAGCACCTCTATGGCTGCTAACAAAAGTAACTGAAGTTCCACGAGATCTGATGCCATCTTTAGCCTCCATGGGCATTGCCTGTATGGGTGCACTTCCATACATGTAGGCAAAACGCTTAATACACATAAAATAAAAAAACACATAAATATAAATTTTTTAAAACATAAATAAAATTAAAATTTGCATTATTGGGGACTGGTGAGGTGGTTTGGCAGGTAAGGATGTTTTCTACCAAGCCTGATGATCAGAATCTGTCGCTCCCCAGAACTCAAATGGCATGAGAAGAGAGCCAGCTCCCTCATGTTGTCCTTTGACTTACATATGCGTACCGTGGCACATGCAATAAATAAATATGTTTTCTCTAATGGGATTCTTTTCAGTCTACTTTTCAAGGGTCCCACTTTGGTTTTTCTGGAGTTAGGACTGTATACAGATATTTGCAGTTTGAGCTTTCTATTACATTTGAACAGTTTTTAGGTGCCAATTATGGAAGTTGAATATATTTATTATAACAAATATAGTTATATTACTATTCTGTAATGTAATATTTGCTATTACTATAGACAACTAAAGTGTTTTTAGGCTTCTTATGTTGATAAGTTTTGCTTTTCTTCCCCCTGAGTATTCACTGAGGCAAAAACAAAGGGAATTTTGAAGTCTTTTGAATCTTATTAATACACTATTTTTTATCTTTATGCTTTTATGAAATTTATAATTTATAGTCACCTTTTATTGTTTCTGCCCTGCAGACCTTGTATTCTACTGATGGACTCACTCAGAGGTCCTTCTCGATCCAATGTTGTCAAAATTCTGAGAGAGTAAGTTCAAAATTGCACCCAATACTGTTTGGTATTCTGGCGTAGCTAAGATAGCATATGTATTTACATACGTTCTTATTACACGTGCATTCTTGTAGGTATTTAGAAGTGGAATGGGAAGTTAAAAAAGGAAGCAAAAGAAGTTTTTCCAAAGATGTTATGAAAGGCTCTAATCCAAAAGTTCCGCAGCAGAACAACTTCAGTGATTGTGGTGTGTACATACTACAGTATGTAGAGAGCTTTTTTGAGGTGAGTTTCTCTTCACTGGATTTGATCAGATAATGAAATAATGTATTGACTTTATTTTTATGTAATGAACACGAAGAGAAAATAGTTAAATTTTTAAAAAAACTCTCAATTCAAAAATTATTCTAGAGAGAAAAACTTCCAAAGTGGAGAACTTTTGAGACGTAAAAATGCTGAATTCATTGATCACCAAATCCCAGACTTGTTGGTCCTCTCTGATCACCTTATCCTCGCTACTGTGTCTTCTACCTTAAATGCTTCAGATTGCTTCTTCTCCCACGTGCTGCTCAGATCTCTAAGTCTGACATCATCCTTCCTCTTGATCTTGAAGTTTTTCTCTACTTCCACCATTTGCCACTGTTGACCATTTCTTCTTCACCCTTCTCATTTGATCAGCGGTACAGCTCTATACATGCCTCTCTTAGATATCTTTCCTTGACTTCTCCTCAACCCCACTATTCATGGAGTGAACCACTAATTCTCTCGACTTCTGTTACTTAAAGTCAGGTGCATGCGTTACTGTATTCCGCCTGCCACTTTTCCCGTCGACTAGTATTATTATTCTACACTGTGGCACCACAGTTCCCTGCCTCCTGCCTTCTACTCTTCACAATCATTTTCCAGAAGCACTAATCAGGTTACTTCCCTGTTTTTACTTTATAGTGGCTCCCTGTAGAGCTGAAGAACAAAATCCTGTGGGAGCTTGTATGGCTGATATATAGCTACATAGTCCGAACCGGTCCAATCCCTGCTTCAGCTACCTGCCTCATTTCTCTCCTGTTGGCATTCTAGTGATCTGTATGTCAGTCAGCTGGAAGTCCTTCCCTTCTGCCTTAAGCCATAATGCTTTTCCCTTCCTTCATGGTTCTGTTGTTCTTTGGCCAGCACCTCCTTACTCTTCACATTTGGCTTAAACATCAGACCCTGGGAGTTGTTATTCACACAGCACTTTATACTTTTCTTGTCATAATATTTGTTGTGGTCGTTGCTTTAATTGTTGAATTATCTTTTTATCTGCCATGAAGCTGACAGTTCTTTTTTTCTTTTAAATGGAGGACCTGAATGTAAACTTTGTTTTGCAGCATCCTCTTTTGTTGCTGTCAGTTCTGCTGTTAAAGAAATAGCTGCAGACTGTTTGTGAGTCTGTGAGCATGCTTGTTCTCGCATAAAACTAGTACAGACACGGAGCAGGCAAAATTTGATCCAGTGGCTATAGTTTAGCAATCCCTAATCTAGACAACAAGTTCTATAGACAAAACCTGTCTAGTCTCCAGTGCTTAGATCAGAACTTGGCATGTGAAAGGTAATGAGTGGATAGATAATTGATATTTTAAATTTTAACTTGGGAGTGTTTTTGTGATCAAAACTAAAATGTCATCCATTATAGTTCTCTAATAGGCTTTAATCTTTTTATTTTCAGAATCCAATTCTAAACTTTGAACTACCTATGAATTTAGTGAATTGGTTTCCTCCCCCGAGAATGAAAACAAAAAGAGAAGAAATCCGAAACATAATTCTGAAGCTGCAGGAAGGTCAGAGTCAAGAGAAGCAGCCTAAGGACACTTGTTCCACAGAAGCCCCCTCAGGGGGAGGAGCAGAGCAGTGTGTCAGCAGTGTCCCTGAGTGACCAGGAGCCCACTGCTCCGCAGTTCTGCCTTCAGAACTCTGCGACTTGTAGCTTTGGGTGTGGACAGTGAAGAGCTACAGCTCACTGCTCAGAGATTGAAGAATGTTAAATGCTTGTACAAAATGTCCTATAATTAATTTCCAAAGGAGAATATGTATTAAGTAAAAGTCTGTAAATATGTTAATGAGGCCAATTTTTCCAACATTTATAATTATTTTTTTCACTTTTAGAAAGCTTTTGTTATGTATTTTCTGTTAATAGTACTTAAAACCGCAACTTCTAAACACAAAATAAATAAAATATTTATAGGAGAAAATGATTAATTGATATTCTTTAGTGAACTTGTATAATTCCTTAGAGTGTGACTTATCTCATGGGGCTATAAGTATATATGATAAATTTTTAAACTTTGTTCTAAAATACTCAAATGTGAAAATATAATTAAAGACATTTTGAACTAAAAAAATACATCTTCATATTGCTTGCATAGCAAGAAAAAATTAACTTTTCAATCTCTCCTGTGTTCAAAGAACTCCAAAAATGTAATAGGTAATTTATAATTTCACACAAAATACTTCAGAAACAATATTAAGAACAATGAAAGAAAACTCCCCGTATTGCTAAAAAATAGCTGTACTGGCATACATTCAAAGACTCAGGTTATAACTATTTTGGTAAGTGCAGCTTGAATTTCAAATATCCAATTATTACCTTTATATTTTATCCTACAATATGCTGCAATCTGTATGATAAAATCGATTAGTAAACATTTTTAATCCATGTAAACACGAATTTAAATAGGAATTCTTTTGTAATAACTTGCTATTTTTTCATGATTCATTTTGTTCTCATTTTTATAAAGCATCAGACTTTGAGTTTTTCAGTGTAAATTATTTTTAAATGTTAACTACATTTAATTGCATAATGCAGCAAAAAATCTCTGACTTTGAATTTCCCTTTTAGAATGCTGAAATGTGGGGCTGGGCCTGTAGTCGAGAGGTGGAGCTTGCATGTTTAACATGCTGAGGCCCTTTTCACTCCCCAGTAGCAAACAAAAGTACTAAATGTGAAGGTTTTGATGCCTCGTTTGCAATTTATAGAGACTTTTTACATGTGTCTGTAGAAACTATTGTTTTTCAAATGAAATATTTTTCAACTTAGTGTATGGCTGGAAATATGTATTTTAAGTCATTTTTGCTTAGTGAATGCCCACATAACAAAAAAATTGAATAAAAGACCATTTTATCAGCAACTATTTTATTTCTAAGGTGGCCACCTCTGGCATTGTGGACCACAGTTTAGACCGTGATTGAGTTTAGTAAAGTCTAGGGGAAGGTTTAGAGCGGATGAGAATGTTAGCAAAAAGGCCTGTTGAGGCTCAAGTGACATCACAGTATAAGTGCTAAGAAAAGTCCCCATTAGTGCTATCAATTATATATGTCTTTGTTACTTTGAACTATCTTAACCTTATTTCTATTATTTCTTTTTAATAAGACCTGAGAACTGCTAGGTCATAGAATCAACTTAGGCATGTAATACAAGACTTTAATTTTATTGCCAACTGCATATGGCAAAATGCTTTTGTTCTCTAATGAAGACAAAAGGTGGAATTAAAGAAAAAATAGGTATAAACAAAATTGACTTACTTCACTTTTTAAAATAAACTTTATTTTGCCAAGATTTGAAGGAACTGAAAAGGTTACTGTAGGGGCAGGACATGGTGGCACACACCTGTGATGCCAGCTGCTCGCAATGCTGAGGCACACAGGTCACTTGAGCTGGGAGTTCCAGGTCAGCTGGTCAACATGGTGAGACGCTGTCCCAAGCAAAACAGAACAAAAAACTATTCTAAAATATTTGTAGTGTCTTTGTTTAACTCTTAATGATTATATTTTATATTGTTAGATAATTTTTGATAAGGTAAAATTCAGCTTGTCCTTTGGGCCCACTCTAGTTGATATTTTTCTTTTCAACATGAAATAAAAGTTGATGTGTGTCTACTTTCTAGAGGTAAAGTACTCAGCTACTTAGTGGTACTTGTCCCACCCAGGTGGATCTTTCTTTTGCAAGTTACAGTGATGCCTTTGCAATATGCATATTGAAATCTGTGGAAGCTCAGATTGTGTAACAGAATTAGACTTGAGACTCTTTAGGCATATGCATATAATAATTGTGTACACTGGTTCTTCTATAAATAGTTTAAAGTGGAGGTCAGTGTTTTGAAATTTGTGATTAGTGCAGCTTGTGCAACAGAACTTTGTAGTGTTGAGGTTTGTTACTTGGCACCATAACTGCATGGCGGGTGTCTGGTGACTTCACTAATTAGATAGAGCTGTTGTATCAGTTTTCTTGTTGGGTAGAGTAGCAATTAATCATTTTTAGAAGAGTTTTAGATTACATGCCATAAAATTTGTATGTGTCTGAGCTTCTGGTTGTGAGGAGCTAAGGTGGGGTTTAACCAGTCCCTTTCCTTTGGTGTTACACTTCAGGCAGCCGAGGACCTGATGGTGGTGTTCCAGATTCACTCAAACCTGAAAGTTGTCTTTTCTTTGCGTGTAACTTATGCTTAAACTTCAATTAATTAATTGTAGGAAGCTTTATTTGAAAGCAAAAAAAAAAAAAAACCTAACATCTTTCGTCACTAAAATGAATCCAGTCTTTAAAAACTATCTGTGGTCTCTGAAGACTATAAAATAAGAAGTAAATAGAGTAACAATTCTCTCAGCTATTCTTAAAGACACAGTTCACTGAACATAATTCAGTCAGGAGTTGATGGAATGAAGTAACTTGGTCTGAAGAAACAGCCCTTTCAACTGTGAGACAGTGTGATTGTCCAGAAGAAGCAAAAGCAGCAAAGGAAGGACAGGAGACAAGATTATTGTCAGGGCGTACTACAAACTAGCAACCCCAGGGGCGTTTGAAGACACCGATTCTGATGGATAATAGAGCCTAAGATCATGTAAGTTTGGAAAGAAGCTCTAAGCAAGTTAAGCAGATTTCTTCACAGTCCTCAAAGGCTTTAGTGTGGTAATGTGCAGGATTATCAAATAAGAAAATAGAGATTTTCTCACAGGATTTGGCCATACCTTTCTTTCCAGGAGTCATAGAGCTAACTACTTGAGATGTTTTGTGAACAGAACTTCAAGAGAAGATAGTTTTGAAACTGATTTGAGGGTTTAAATTTTTTTTTTCAGGGGACTGGAGAGATGGCTAAGATCACTTGATGTTCTTTCAGAGGCTGATTCCCAGCACCTATATGATGGCTCCAGGGGATCTGAACCCTCTTCTGAACTCTGTGGTACATTGCACATACATGGTGCACTTGGCATACATGCAGGCAGGACACTTGTATACATAAAAATAATAAAATTTAGTTTTGGTTTATGTAGGTTTTTTTTTTTTTTTTTTTTTTTTTTTTTTTTTTTTTTTTTTCCCTGTAGCCCCAGCTGTCCTGGAACTCACTATGTAGGCCAGGTTGGCCTTGAATTCACAGAGATCCTCCTGCCTCTGCCTCCCA